TCGCTGTATAATCAAAGTAGCCTCTGGACGGTACAAGATGCATGCAAATGCAATAACTTTCCAAAATCCTGTTGCAAAGATTTATGACACTCTTCCTCCTCCTCTTGAAGAACTTGATGAAGTCTTGGCTGTTATGTTTACTGGACCTTGTCAACCTACCAAAAAAGACCTTCAATGTACACCATTGCTGGTCCGTCGAAAGCAGATTTCAAAAGCACTTGAGTGGTTAAAATTGAACCATTCTGACTACTTTGACATTGGAATATCACAGGAGAATTTGAGCCAGTACCCTTTGAGTGATGCACCAGTTGTAATTGACTATCATCAATCAATAATAAATAGGGAGCGAGAGGCTACAAGCGTTCATGATAATGAAGAAGAGATAGGTACCGAAGAGGGTCCTTGTACTTTTGTAGTTCAAGGGCTGACTGGAGAAGAGTATTCTACCATGTCTTTGGAGGCAATAAAGGCTCGAGCACTGAAGCATTTGACATCTAACAAAAAAATCATGTTTGCAGGCCATTCACAACAACCCAACTCCATTTATAATAACCCTCAACTATTTCCTGCTATGCTACCATGGCTATTTCCTTATGGCCTTGGAGGTATCGGAAATGATATGATACCCCATAACATATCTACTATGGCCCACAAGCGTTTACTGTTAATGTATCATGATAAGTGATTCCAAATGGATCCACATTTTCCACTTATTGCATTCAATCATGAACAAATACAACAAAGTACGACTGGAGGTTATCTTACAACCAAAAAGTCCTCATTTGATTCAGTAACTGAACGCTTGCTTAACCTTGATATGCAAGTTATATCTAGCATAAACAAAAGACTTGCTTCAGATGAATGAGTAAAACCAGAAACTGAGCAAGAAAAAGAATGCTTTCAATTGTTAAAGGATCTGGATTCTGTTGGAGGTCATGTGCAAGGTTCAACAACATCAAAGAAGTACATGCGTAATGAAGTCTGGTCACTTATATCATATATTGGTGCTCCCTCTTGGTTCATTACACTTTCTCCAGCAGATGGCAAACATCCTATATGTCTTTATTTTGCTGACACCAACACAGAATTCAGACCTGAATTAACTTTTTCACCAGAATGTTCTACATTAATTGCAAAGAATCCTGTAGCTGCTGCACGCTTTTTTCATTTTATCTGTGAAAATTTTATTAAACATGTACTAGGTGTTGGAAGTAATCACGCTGGACTATATGGAGAAACAGATGCATACTATGGAACAGTTGAACAACAAGGGAGGTTAACACTGCACCTTCACCTGCTTTTGTGGATAAAAGGTGCCTTATCTCCTCAAGACATACGAGATCGAATTATGGATCCTTCATCTGACTTTCAAAAATGTATTGTTGAATATCTTGAATCAGTACATAAAGGAGAACTTCATGGAGGATCCTTTGAAGATATTCAAGCTCAATGTCAAGATGCTCAGAAAAACGATCCAGAATACAAAAATCCAACCCATACTATGCCTATACCTCCACCTCCTCTCTGCAAGAATAGAGGGTGCAACAAATGTTTAAGATGCACTAATCTTAAAGTATGGTGGGGTAATTTTCATGCGACAACAGAGGATATTTTGTCTAGATCAAATCATCATGGGTGCCGCAGACCTGAGATAGATGGGGAAGACCCCACAAAAGTGAAGCGGAAAGGGTGTCTAAATGCACAAGGCCAATGTAAGGCACGCTTTCCACGTGAGATTGTAGAGGAGACAATGGTTGATCCGCTGAGCGGTGCATTGAAAATAAAGAAGGGTGAAATGTGGCTCAATACATTCACACCTGAGCTAACATATCTTCTTCGCTGCAACACAGATACTACTAGCTTGATGTCAAGTACAGCAATAAAGGCGGTTGTTGGATATATCACTGAATATGTAACAAAAACTGGCTTAAATTCATATACAGCTTTTGATGCTGTCGTCAAGTGTA